CCCACCGTTTGAATTCCAGTAGAAATGTATTCTTACACTTTTGTTTTGTTCATTTTTATTCCCGTTTGAAAGGAGCCTAAGGAGTTGAATGTAAACGTGACCGTGGGAATATGTATCGGCAGATTCAGAGGATAGATATCTCTGATCTCCCGTCAGCGGTACGCACAGCCGGCTGTGCGTACCGCCGGCTGTGCGTACCGCCGGCGTTCTCTCCAGCGTTCTCTCCAGCGTTCCCATATATTTAATTCTAGATAAAGTTAAGTTTCATCTTTTACAGAGCTTGGTGTCTTCCAGAAAACACGACAAACATCCTAATTCAAACGTGACCATGGGATTATTGTATCAGCCGCATCAGAGGATAGATATCTCTGATCTCTTTACGTACCGTCAGCGTTCTCTCCAGCTTGCCGGTGACGGTGCTGAAGCAGTAGAGCACGAAGTCCTCTCCCACGCAGTAGATCCACTCGCCCCGAGGAGAGAGAGTGCAGCAGACGAAGTCTCCTCCCTCCCTCTTACCGGAGCTGAAACTCCTCACAATCTGTGACACACACACACACACACACACACACAGCCACACACACACAGCCACACACACACACAGCCACACACACACATGAGAAAAAGAGACACACACAGAGAGGAGAGAGAGACACACACAGCAGCAGTGTTAGTATTGTGTATTTGTGGTAAACTGCGGTATTGATAAAGTTTGATTCGAAGATTGATCAGAATTCCTCATTTTTTCCCGTAGCGTGGAAATGTACATCACATAACTAAGTATACACACAGTATGTAAACAAAGAACCGATAAGTACAGCATAGTAAAAAAGCAGTGTGTGTGCGAGTGACCCTACATTGAGCTGGCTCTGTTGTTCACAGGGTGTAAATAAATAGCACATGCGTGTTCATTGCACAGTTGTATGCAGGATGATATATCGTCCCGTGTGCAGAGGTGTGTGTGACTGTGTGTCATTGGGAGGCGTGTGGTGCAGTGGATAGTGCGTTGGTGTTGAGATCAGGGGGTCTCAGGTTCAAACCCCACTGCAGTCAGCATGTCGTTGTGTCCCTGAGACGCTTCACCCCAAAGTGCTCCTGTGGGGATTGCCCACAGTACTGAGTATGTAAGTCGCTTTGGATAAAAGTGTGTGTGTGTGTGTGTGTGTGTGTGTGTGTGTGTGTGTCTGACCTGTCCCTGCATGTTCATGATCACCACGGTGTTGGAGCGGTTGCACACCACAAAGTGCTCAGGGTTTTTGGGCAGTTGGATCACGTTGTTCACCGTGATGTCTGTTCCAGCCGACGTGCCCAGAGGCTTGAAGGTGTTCGAGCACTCGGTGGTCTTCATGTTCCACATCTACACACCGGGGGGAACACAGTCAGTCACAGTCAGATACACACACACACACACACACAGTCAGATACACACACACAAAGTCAGTCACAGTCAGATACACACACACACACACACACACACACACACACACAGTCAGATACACACACACAAAAGTCAGTCACAGTCAGATACACACACACACACACACAGTCAGATACACACACACAAAGTCAGTCACAGTCAGATACACACACACACACACACAAAGTCAGTCACAGTCAGATACACACACACACACACAAAGTCAGTCACAGTCAGATACACACACACACACACACACACACACACAAGTCAGTCACACACACACACAAAGTCAGTCACAGTCAGATACACACACACACACACACACACAAAGTCAGTCACACACACACACAAAGTCAGTCACAGTCAGATACACACACACAAAGTCAGTCACAGTCGATATACACACACACACACACACACACACACAGTCAGATACACACACACAAGACTTTTTCGCTGTCCGTCATTTTGACGGACAGGATCGTAAAACTTCCGTCCTTTACGGCCTTTACACAACTCTGACAAGGGGGGGGGGGAAGCATGCTCGTGAACTGTCAACGGGGGGGGGACGACAGTTCACATGCGCCGTGTTATGCATGGCTGCTGCACCTCGCGGGAGCGTGCACAGCGTAAAGCCAAAACTCACAGACATTTCAATGATCTGTACGGCACAGTACGGTTAGGTTTGGAAACGGTATGATTTCCTTTTTGGAGGGCACGCATAACACCGGAGACTCGCTGCGGGGAAACTTTGGCGCCGTTCCGAGTTTGTTCTAATCCGTCAAAATGACGGACTGCTTTCAGATTTGTCCGTCATTGTTAAAAAAAATCCGTCATAGACGGAAAATATTCGGTTAACGCGACCTCTGAGTCAGACACACACACCTTTCCTACTAAAGTTGTTCCATAAGCCGATTTCCCAGTTTTTTAAAATACCAACCATCAGGAGTAATCAATACACGGCTACACAGGTTGCCCCACTATCACAAGATCAAGAATACGCAAGTAGGAAAACGACTTATGCCACATTAAAAGCAACAGGTATAAGACAGCATGCCATGTTGCCAAACCTTGTTAATTAAAAATGAACGTTGTTTGTGTGACATTGAGACAGCGAGCTACTACTTTAGCTAGTAAACGGTAGCATTAATGCTGGCGTTCCAGTCCAGAACCATAGTGGTAAACAATATCCACGTCACTCTGGAGAAAAGTATAAAGCTGGAGAAGTCGTGCTTTAATTCAAGCTGGCTTCGTAAGAATAAGAGCAACGAGAGCCCAGCTCCGACAGTCTGCCAGAGCGGCGTTGCTGAGAAAATCAATGACGTCATGGCGAGGCTTCACTCTGGCTCACTCATCAGGTTTGTTTTGAGACTTGAACCCCAGACCCTTTGCTTCCCTCCCTACAGACGGATCTATTCTCTCACCTTCACGGTGCCGTCCGACGAGGCGCTGATCACATGATGTCCGTCTGGAGTGAAGGTCGCCTCGTTCACAAACGACGTGTGACCTCGAAACTCCTTCAGGGTTTTACCTGACTTCAGTCCGTGGATTCTGAAACATAGGAAAACTAAATGTAAACCACGATCACAGATATCAGGAGAAAGAAAAGCATCCATGATACGATTCGATAATACTTTACTGTCGACATGTTTCTAGCATCACAGCAACAAGAGCATTTCACATCAGCATCAGTGCAGACTAGGGGTGTAACGGTATTCGTCCCGTACCGTCACGGTTCGGACGTCACAGTTCGGCACATGCAGTCACACGGCGAATACGCCTTTTTTTACGAGTGGGAAAAAAGTCTGTCACTCAGGGCAGCATTACACTATATATAATCCAGGGGGCGGTATTGCGCCTAAAAGCCAGCCGCCCGTAAATAACAAATGAAGAACAAGAACACAACACAACAAACGAACACAATACATGAAGAAGAAAAGTTAGTAGCTACGGCGAGTTCACACAACACACAGGAGCTAGAAGACCCACCTGCTTCTTTTAAACCAGGTGTGTGGGAACATTTCGGGTTCCCTGTGGACTACAACAATGATGGGGTGCGAGTTGTGGATCGGACGAGGACGGTGTGTCGGCGTTGTTCGACAGCGGTGCGGTATGCTAGTGGTAACACGTCAAACATGCTCAATCACATCCGAGTCAGTCTCAGTCCCCAGCGAGAGGGTTTTCTCGACGGCAGGTGACATAGTTACCGCCAACAGATCTGCCCTCACTGCTGACAACGTAGACAAACTCATCTTTTTGAAGAACAACTTGAGAATAGAGTAAAGCTTGAGTACCTTTATTTAGGCATAATGGCCTCACACACTCACAGTTAATTACACATGTTAGACATTGCTCCTAAAGGTACAGATTTTATTTTGTTTTATATTTATCATTGTATTTATTTTATATTTAGACATCAGGAGATGTTATACAGTTCTGTATTGCCTTTTATTGATTGTGATTGAAACACTTTCTTATTATTTATTTAAATATTTTCAAGACATTATTTTTAGTTGTACAGCTTGTTGAACCTTTTTGTTTGACATCAGCCATTATAAATAATATGGCCTTCTGAGTGTGTGTGTGTTACTGTTTGTGGTTTGTTTTTAACTGTGTAATACAGTTAATGATTCCAAATGTTAGAGTTCCTTATTTTCATACCAAAACTTGCACTACTGTTACAAATAAATAACAGCAAACAAAATTATGCATTTGGGACTTTTTGTTGTTGTACCGAACCGAACCGTGACTTCTGTGAGCCGTTACGCCCCTAGTGCAGACAATATGCTCCTCTGTTGTTCAGACTCTCTGCTGATGGAGAACTGAATGGTGGGGTTTACCTGATGGTCTGGTCGAAGGAGGCGCTGAGCAGCTGGCTGCTGTCTTTGCAGAAGGAGACGCAGGTGACTCCTTTACTGTGAGCACGCTCAAACCTGCGCAGACACTGACCGCTCTGGATCTTCCACACCTGAAACAATACAGGTATTTATCATTCAACATTAGCATTGCCTTTTTATTATACACACTTCTATAGTTCCAGGTAGGATGAAGATAATTCTGATTAAATTAAATTGAACAGAAGTACCTTAATCTTCCCGTCCTGAGCTCCGGTGGCCAGCATCTCCGTGTCTCTGCTGAAACCCATGCAGAGCACAGCGTCGTCCATCATCATGAAGTTATCCTGGGCCTGGTACTTCAGATCCTGAGACACACACACACACACAGCTATTAACACACAGCTGGGGCCTGTACTACGAAGCTGGTTCAACCTAACCTGGATATGTTTGAGTTAGCCGGTTGGCCTAATCCAAAACATACGCACTCTCGCTAAACTGTCCTACGACGCTGGTTATCAAGTGGATCGCTCAAGCCAGCCGTGTCCTATCTAGTTAGGTGTTCACATGAGAGGGGTGGTATCTGGAGCATTCGACCAATCACAGACATGGAGAAGCGCACTGACAGCGCAGCGTCATACTTCCTGAATGAAAAGTCAACTTTAATATTAGACATATGAAGAAGTTAAACTTTAAACATCCATGACTTAAACACTTGATCCAGGATCAAAGCCACAGAGCTGCACCTGCAAGGTGAACACAGCTGGGAACAGAACAAGTGTTTGAATGCGTACATTAACAGCTTTATGATATCACTGCCCGTCTAAGACACCATCTGACTTTCATTACATTTGACTCCAGTGTTTCCTCAACTTAATGTGTTGCTTAAAATAATACTTCTGCATACAGTCTGTGACGCTGTGAGTGTTGCACGGCCAGATACGGCTCAGCTGACTCAGATAAGGAGATGATACATTATGAAGTGATATGACGCGGACTGTACTTAATGTTACTCTGATCCGGTTACTTATGTTGTGGCAGATATTTCAGTAAGCTTTCTTAACGCTAATTTTATAATAGTCAGATTGCTCTGAAGATGGAGCTGATATTCTATTCATGTTCACGTTCACACAGTCGCTGATTTTTGCCGGCCGTCTTTCCTGCGACGGCAGCTTTTCTGTATTTCCTTTCTCCTGTAATATGACTTGATCACTTTAAACTCCGCACACTGAGCTCTGATTGGTCAGCAGGCGGTGCTTTCACTGAGTTGAGCTCTTAGCCTGCAACATAACCTGCTCCCGACCAGGTTAGCCGCTAAGCATAAGTTACCATGGAGATCAAGCCTGCTAAAAAGAGAACCAGCTTCGTAGGACCGGAAAGCCGGAGTTTTCCCTGAAGTTAGCCGCTAAGAGAACATCCTGCTTCGTAGTATACCCCCCTGGAGTCACTCTGAAATCATTAGATGGTTATATTTAACCCAATCTGTGCTGTATTTCTGTTTTTGCATTTTAAACCTTCGACACAGTTCATAATGTTCTCCTTTCCCACAGCATAGGTCTACGGCCTTGGGTATTGCTGCTATCTCTCTTAAGGGGGAGCAGCTCTGGTTCCTTGTTGGGGTTTATTTATATACCAACTATGTGCAACATGTGCATTTTTTAAATCTTTAATATTTTTTTGATGCATGCTTCTTGGTTAAAATTAAGCTGTCTTTGCCTCTGTGGCTCCTTCCCCTCTGTGGGACAAACAAAGGTATTCTGATTCTATGACCGAGCACAAGCTGCCATGAGATAGTGTATTGTTCAGAGACATCTAGAAACCCTTCTTTTCTGGAACGTAGCTTCCCAGTCAAATCCTCCGGCCGTAAACTTCATAATAAAGCGTCAGTGTTTGCCATCAAAGCTCCAGCTCTGCTCGTCTCTCTGAGTTTCGTCTCCATTGCTCCGGAAGTTTCCATCACACTCACCTTTCTGATTTTGCCGGTGGTGAAGTTCCAGACCTCGATGAACCCGTCCACAGACCCCGTCACCAGGTACTGACCGTCGGGGGAAAACCGGGAACACTCAACGTGAGACTTCTGTCCAAACTGAGCAGGGAGGAGACAAAAGACACACGTCAGAAACTAGGCCATAAGACTATTTAAAGAACATCCATAAACATCTGTTTGCATATTCCATTCACTATTTCTAAAAGGTGTATATACACACATCAGGGTATCTGCAGGAATCCTGAAGTCACATGTAAGACCTTTTAAGACCCTTTCCATACATTTTAAGACCTCATCTCCACTTGGAGTTCTAAGCGGTTACCTTGGCGACACACTTTACCTCACATTGACTATATACAGTATTGATTGTCCTTCCTCCTTCTCTTCCAACCAAACGCAGACTTGCATTTCCCCATAACGATGTTGCTTAACAACCGTCGTAAACGGAGCTTCGCGCTATCAAGCAGTGAGCGCGCGATGTCCTGTTCAGATGACGTCAAACCCAACGGGATGCCATCAATAAACTACACAGAATCACACTACACACCTACGCCATGATTACATTCAGGCAGACTGTAGAACACAACCTCTCTGGACCATTTATATACTTATTGAAAACAAGCTACAACATGTGATACCTTGGAAAATGGCGTTTAATACTTTTTAATAGCCTTCATTTTCGCTAAATTGATTCATCAACTTTCAATACTTTTTAAGACCCCGCGGACACCCTGTATAAATATATATATTTATTGCAGAGGATGTGTACCTTGATGTGTCTGCTGAGCTGCGTGGGGAAGGCCTCCTCCTGCACATCTTTCACGGCTGCTTTCCCTCTGAACAGATCGATGGTCATCCCGGGAGGAAGGAGGCCCTGATGCTGCTGCCACTTCAGAGACTGAGGAGGAGGGACAGACACAACACATCAGGGTTAACATACTAGTTAGTTATTGTGGTGACTATTGCCACTCAATGGCTAAACTATTTGGACGCGTGCAATTTCCACATACGACAACGTTTTTAGCTTTCAATATCTCTTATTTACAAAGAAAAACAGCGTGTTCACAGACTCAGAAAACTCTTGCTCTCCCAGTCACAGTCAATGCACCTGTGCCAGGAGACCAGTTATATGTTGTTGCCCCATTACGCCATCTAGTGTTCAAAATAACAAAACCATTCTTCTGGGTGAGCGTTTTACAGTGGAGTGACTATCTGTTTTATTTGTCCGGTATGTAAGGGACACTTCTGCAGCAATGGAGAGTCAGGACTCAGAGAGACACGAGGAGAGTTGGAGCTTTGATGTCAAACAATGATAGTTTATTACAAGTATAACGGCCGGAGAATTCACATCACAAGTCACAGCAGCAAAAGGTTCTGACTGCGCATCTTGGTAGGCCTTTTAACTAGTTTACAGAGAGTCAAATCCACATATTGGGGATGGGCGTAAACATCTGCAGACACAGGAGATGTCTCTCACATCTGTGGAGCTTAGAAAGCCAGCGTTCTCACAGTCGTAAAACCCCCTGTGCCCACCAGGTCAGGCCATAAAACGTATAGTATCACCATACGACTGCATCAACACATTCCTTATTGAAGATAAGGAGCAGGGATGGTCGTAAATGTCAACACACAGAATAAGGTTAAATATCTTAGGAGTAAGACAGAAATATTCCCTTACACTATATATATATATTCATGTTGCTCTGTTGGAGGAGTCTGTGACTTCAGGTTGTCATTGACATATCTCCACTGTAGCTGCTGAGCACATGATGAAAGACTTGAAACTTGACGCTGGTTCGCTCACCTGTCCGAGCAGAGCCATGAGACGAGAGGGAGGGACGACGCTCACTTCTCCAGCTAAAGCCTGAGCGATGGCTGCTCTCCGTTTCTCTTTACTGCTGCCGTCTGGGTACGCCTGCACACAAAGAAACACTCATCAGAAACACTCATCAGAAACTCCACATGCCATCTTTAACATGCTGCTGTTAGAGCCAGAGTTTATGTGAAAAGGTTCAATCGTTTTGTCAGCTAGTGGCATTTACGAGTATATCTCAAATCTATGCTTTATTACTAAAATGCAACTCAATGACTGACAAGCTCTGAGTCCACACACACACACACGTTTCTGTAGCAAAGTGGGCCATTATACATTTATTTAAGCATGCATTTACTTTAGGATTTGATGCAGTTATAAGTCGTGCATTGAGCCGCAGTCTGGCACTGAGGGGCATTATCTCTGTCATTTAAATAGGGTATCATCACATTATTGTAAGATCACACAAGAAGCATTATTATTGTTTTCACTTCAAGTGTTTGATTGGTACTGCAAATAACTGGAAGTACACCAGGATATGTGTATTAAAACACAGAATATACTGATTGTATATGTAAGGGAGTTAAGCGGAGCCTAAAATGTTCCTAAAATGTGATTACAAAACATTACGCAGAACCAGTTGGAGGCTCTGTGGCTGAAAGGACAACCTGATCCTTATCGTTTGAGTGGCCTCACCTCTCGGGGGTCGAAGTATGAGCGAGCCAGCAGGTTCTCCAGGTGGATGTACCTCTCCGGCTGCGTCTGCTTCAGCATGATCATGGGGTCGGTCTGTCTGAGGAGGGATCGAGCTGCACCCAACTCTCTCAGCTCGATCAGCTCCAACACCACCTGCAGGGACAAGGAGAGGAGACAGGTGTGACTCCTCATTCAACATGTACATTTTCTAAACTGCATGTAAACTGTAGGTTAAAGGGGACCTATCATGCAAAATGCACTTTTGTACGTCTTTTAAACATCGCTGTTCCAGGGAACTCACCAAGTGTCAGAAAACACAACCCTCTCTATTTTCCTCCATACCCAAATTAGGGATGCCAGCGATTATTCGATTTTTCGAATATTCGTTACAGTCTCCATAATCGAAAAATTATAATTAATATTATTATTATTATTTTTAATGTTTTTCTCCTGGCTAAGTTTCAACCAAAATATAGACTAATAGTAATAGTATTAATAATTGTAAATGGCCATTGGTCACACCACCAGTTTCTTTTCCTGTAAAAGGCTGCGCAGAGTGCAGACTGCTGGCGGCGGCGAATAATCGATTAATATTCGCCAGGGCTGTCCGTATTTTGATCATGGTCAGTTTCTGGCATCCCTAATGTAAACTGCATGTTAAAGAACAACTTGCAGGTTTTTTTTCTACATTTATGCGAAACCTTGCCTGAAAATTACAATTAAAAAAGTTAATGCAGGATTTGATATGTTTTACAAGACATAAGGGCAGGAATGTTTTTTGAAAATCTAGTGTATTGATCATTTTCCTACACATGTATTCACTGGTCTCTAACCTGCAAGTTGCTCTTTAAGTATGTAAACTGTATCTAAACTACTGTATCACTAGCGCCCCACCTGCTCGTAGAGGTCTATGAGGGTTTTGTCGGGCAGCTTCAGGGACTGGATGGCCTGCAGGACCGTGTCCCAATGTCCGCTGTTAATGTCGGCCACAAAGCTCTCGATGCTGTCCACGGTGTTCAGAGAGACGGTGGTTTCTTCCTGCAGCGTCACCAGCGTCCTCTGCAGGTTGTTCTCCTTCAGGTACTGCATGATCAGACGGATCACACTGAGGAGACACAGGGGATGTAGAGGGTCAGGCAAACAAACAATGCACTTAGTTTAGGTTTCACACACATACAGGGAATGTGCTTTGTTTTGCAACTTTATCTACAGAGCACCAAGGTAATTCAAAGTGCGTTACAAAAGTTAAAGACATCAAGAGCATTAAGAGGAGACACATTATAAAATGGCTTTTAAAAACATTGTTTATCACCGTTTTTAGGGTAAACATATTGCAACGGAGCCCAAGCAGAAGCAGAATGAGGTATATATATATATTCTAGATTAGGGTTATTTATTTTAAATACAACTGGTGTTTTAAAGGACCCAAGGTAGTGGAAGAACAAACCACTTTTATTAAGTCTGTCCCTTTCACTCCTTCTCTGTGTGTATGAACTGTGTGTTGTTCTAGCTAGTGTTATTCTATCGTAGTTGCCAGTGCCAAAGACAAAGGTCCATTGTGTGTCAATGTAATGCACATTAAAGTATTCCGAGTCTAGATCTGGTCATTGGCAAGTAGGTTTTAAACGTGTGTAGCGGTGCAAACATACACCCAGTGAGAGGAATAGTTGAAATACAAGGAACACATTTACAAGACATATCATAGTACACAACATTAAACAAACATGTGCAGAAACACAGAGGAATGTGGAAGCACTCTGTCTTTGCTATCCTTGCTTCTGAATGTGCCTTAAAGTCTGTTGTGTTTGTATATAAAGGGCTTTTAACTGTGGGTTCTGCAATCAAGAGTCCATCCTGCCAGGTGTCTTTATATTAATGCTATCCTCCTGCCAGGTGTCTTTATATTAATGCTATCCTCCTGCCAGGTGTCTTTATATTAATGCTATCCTCCTGCCAGGTGTCTTTATATTAATGCTATCCTCCTGCCAGGTGTCTTTATATTAATGCTATCCTCCTGCCAGGTGTCTTTATATTAATGCTATCCTCCTGCCAGGTGTCTTTATATTAATAGCTATCCTCCTGCCAGGTGTCTTTATATTAATGCTATCCTCCTGTCAGGTGAACATTAGCTTCTGAGGCGAAATCTGGCTAATTTCCATGATGGAATTAAGAGTTATTAATGTGCATTATCTCTTCTTAAATACAGTTAAAACCATTTACAGTATGGAATATTATATAACTTCCAAGCTATTTAAATTGCAACGTGTTAGAAGTGCGAGTGGATCATTAAACGATATATATAATAATAATAAACAGACTTTTGTTACTTACATTGAAATGAGTTTTAGCATCGATTCTGTAGCAACTGGCAGAGGAATGCTAACGGTAGCACATGCTAACTTACACTTACTCTCCTACCTTTTAATATTATTTACTAGATAGGAGTAATGCAGACACAGAATGAATGTGATGATGAACAACAGAGCAACTTTAGTGACTGAAATTACCGGCAATTTAATCATAAAAAGACAAAACTGTTTCCATACGGTGTCTATTAGTTAGCATGTTAGCTCAGAATGCTAAAGGGGGATAAAACAGGCCTCAGTGACAGAAAACATTATAATATAAGGTTATTTACTGCGCGATTTATTATAAGAATGAACCAGCTATAAGAGTAATTAGCAGGACTACTCACTCTGCTGATTCCACCTCCAGAGACATCGTTATTTATCTGGTATTTATCTCAGAATACAAGCCTGGAAACACCCGAGTGGCAGGAGGAGAAGCGAGGAGCGAACCGGAAGTGCTGGAGGATTCTGGGAACTTCAGAATAAAACTGTGTTTTCTTTATTCAAGAAAATATACGTGTCAGGCACTATAGCAGATATAAGTTCACACACACACTGTTCGAAATGGGGGGGGCAGGGGGAGCTCCCCTGAAGGCCGACTTTGAGATAAATAGGAGGAGCCCAAACAAATCGTGCATGTGTCGGTCAGATACCGCGGTGAAGTTAGTTTGCTGAATATGAAAAGACTCAGTGTGTGCCCACTGTGGCCGCCGAGCCAGTCATGTGGATGTCAGTTGTACACATTATGAGGCCGCCGTGCCTATGTTTTTGTTTTCACTGCTAGTTTATGCTTATTATTAGTTTTTAATTAGTGCATTACAAAATAAATAAAATCATTAATGAAGTTTCAGCTCAGACCCCACACTTAATAAGTCCCCCCCACCTACCTTTCTCCAGGCCCACCCACACAATAATTCCTGGCTACGCCACTGACTCAGATCGTGTACTTGAGTAAAAGTAGAAGTACTCAGATCTTGTACTTGAGTACAAGTAGAAGTACTCAGGTCTTGTACTTGAGTAAAAGTAGAAGTACTCAGACCTTGTACTTGAGTAAAAGTAGAACTTACTCAGATCTTGTACTTGAGTAAAAGTAGAAGTACTCAGGTCTTGTACTTGAGTAAAAGTAGAAGTACTCAGATCTTGTACTTGAGTAAAAGTAGAACTTACTCAGATCTTGTACTTGAGTAAAAGTAGAAGTACTCAGATCTTGTACTTGAGTAAAAGTTACTCAGGTCTTGAACTGGAGTAAAAGTAGAAGTACTCAGAGCTTGTATTTGAGTAAAAGTAGAAGTACTCAGAGCTTGTACTTGAGTAAAAGTAGAAGTACTCAGATCTTGACACACAATCCCAATTCACGCGGAGTTAAGAACACTTAACAGAAAAATAAAACACATTTCAATGTGACATATTTTAATTGAATTCGGCTTTAGCTGCACGTTTTATTACTGATCAACATTACAATAACGCATATCGAGGATATATAAGTATTGCTGAGTTGTGACGTTTCTAAAGTGTTTCTACGGTGTTTTCCATTATTCCCTCTAGTGGGCTCAGCCTGCCCCCTGCTGGTCAGACTGTGGAACGGCACTGCTCTGCTTGTGTTGATACCATAGGTTGATTCAGCAAGCATTAAGCGAGTTAGAAATGTTTTAAAAGATACAAATATAATACAAATACAAATGATTATTAGCAGCATGTATTTACAATAGAAACGAAATACATCGGTATATCTAAATCAGAGGGGAGCAGATTCTAAAAGTATAATCAGTGATAGGGCCCACACATGAAACCTGTGCTTGTCTTATATTGTACTTCTTAGATATATATGTAAACAGATATTACACAGTAGTATTCACGTGTTGATAAGACCACTTTTCAAATAACTTCAGTCAATTAAAACATGTTCTAACAAATCTTATTTTATCAAAACAAAGCCCAATAACTTAACTTTCCCCTTGTTATGATCTGAGGCTTCTGTTTGAAGGAATGAGCTGAAAACACTAAATAAAGTAAAGCCTCTGGAGAGCTGAGATGAAGGCTGTTTGTTTCTTAAAGTATATTCAACTATCAAGAATAATTGACTTACTTTTGATTGATTTTGCTAACTTATAAGTTAACCTTTGAGGCCGTACACTGCGTTCAAACATGTTGGGATGCTTCCCAGTGTTGGTTCACTTATAATGAGCAGAGCAGCCTCAGCGTGTGACAGATAACATTCAGCCTTCAATGGAAAACAAAAACACAAATGTCGCTTTCTTAAAACATCCCCAGTATTAAGTGGTTTTCTTAATGACATGAAATGATACCAACAGTTTAAAAAAACAGTTTTACAACACCTTAATTCCTGAGTTGTGTTTTATCTTCTATTTGTTATGTTCCTAACGCCAATTGTTTTGATGTGTTTTCCTGATGTATTGGAATACATGCTAACGTTAGCAAAGGCTACGTTGCACTAACTCTCCTACTTTCTAATGATATTACTCCACAGAGGAGTAATGCAGACACAGAATGAATGTGTGGATTAAGAACAGATCAAACACATGTTGCTCTGACTGAGGGTCCATCCAGCTAAAGTTAAGGATTGTTCAAAACAACTTGACTCTGAAATGTTCTGGCTTTTTCTGCGGATAGTTTGACTGTAAATGAGTTTGTCGATAGCTCTCCCTTTGGTGTGTCCTTGCTCCTTTATCACAGCTTCTATGGTGTGTAAATATGATTTGGATATGATGTGTTTGATTGAACCCTTTTACAGCACATTGTTCCCATGCAGACCACTACTCCCTTTGCATGTGGACAGTAAACAATGAGGTATTTTCTTTGTCTTGTAAAGCCTGTCCTGCAGCATGTGTCGTTTCCTCTTCTGTCTGCAGGCTGATTCCTTCACACACGTCTGTCTGACTGCACTGTCTCTCCTGGAGCTGAGACTCTGAGGATCTGATGAGGACCAGAAGACGAGTGCAGCAAGTGTGCCTGACCCTCCTCCTCCTCCATGACCTCCGCCTGCAGTCTCTCAGCTGAATGAAGCTCCTTCTTTACGCTGAGGGACAAACAAAGCCCCCTCCTCTCCGGAAGAAACAGGAACTGTGTTTTGAGGCGTTTCCTTTTCAGTAAACCTCTTGAAATCTGCGGTTTCTGTAAACACACAGAACATGTCTGCGTTGTCTTACTCAGTTTACTACTTGTCAATGTTGCAAGGAACCACTTTGTGCACAGCGTGTTTCAGAGGGGGACACAGACAGTGTTGCACATGGTCCATTAGTACAGCTTTTAGTCGGGGAGGGTTATTATAACTTCCTGTCCCCAGTATGTGGTGCAGAGCGGCACTTCAAGTCACAAAGGGAAGGGAAACCTTTACGCAAACACACAAAGGCGTATGACGTGGTAAGGGGAGGGTTTTTGGAGTTGGGTTTCCCCCCCCCCCTACCCGGTGTCCCTCTCTTTGTCTCCCCCCTCTTCCCTCTCTGGGACCTGAGGGGGGGTCAAAGGGCGTCTGGGAGGAATGCCAGAGGGGGAGGAGCGGCCAGATCTTTTGTCCTCTCGTCTCCAGTCGACCAATCCTGGCCCGTGTGACGTATCAGCTCTTTGCATGCTTTACCCACATGCCCTAGCGGTTCCTCAGCAGAACCTGAAGTGGGTCTGCCGGTCCTGGGGGGTCACTTTAAGTCCTGGGGGGTCACTTGAGTTCCTGAGGGGTCACAATCACACATTAACACATGTAATTCTGCACATATAGAGCCTTTGAAAGCAGGGTTTTCCTCCTCTGAGCCTCTACATGTCCTGGCACCAGAGCGGAGGCTGCTCCCAGGTCAGAGAGGTATATATACTCCCCAGATTCTTAGTTATATTGTGTTACTTCGGTAGCACATATACTAAAATTGGAACGATACAGAGAAGATTAGCATGGCCCCTGCGCAAGGATGACACGCAAATTCGTGAAGCGTTCCTTATTGTTTCCTTCCCGTAGCTCTTTTTTGTGATTTAATATGATTTTTTAAAGATTTGATATGATTTGGGATGATTTGGGATGATTTTGGGTGAAACAGCGCCCCCATGGCCCCCAGTGGTACTGCGGCTGCAGAGCCTGCTCTTCACTCCTCTGCACTCTGCTCCTCTTCACTCCTCTGCCTTTGTTTATAACACTTCAACATTTAGTTCACTAGTTTCACTTCGAGTAGTGGGTTATGCTTGTAACTTGTGGAGGAGAGACACCTCCTCTGAGCTCTGTGCCTTCATGACTTCTTCTGTTTGCATCTCACATTTCTGTTATTAGCAGGACTTCATCCAACACGAGTCATCTGCATGTAAACAGAGCAGCATCTGATCACAGTGAATACAGACCTGAGAGGTTTAGAAATCTGGATGCTGCACAGGGTCTAAAGTGCCACTTTAGCGGGACGTTATGGAGCTCAGGAGTCCCCCGCCCTCTGATGCATTTAGGGCTGACAGGGTGAGGAGGATGTCCCGCTCCGCTGTGCAGCATCCAGGGAAACACACAGCGGGACATCCTCCTCACCTGTCAGCCCTAAATGCATCAGAGGGCGGATAGCTGAGCTCCGTAGCGTCCCAGTGTAACCGGTGTGGTTAAGCGTCTCTGCGTTGTGTTTTAATGGAAGAGACCCGAGCCAGCGTAACGTTGAGACGATCTCTGTTTAATGACTGACAACAGATAAAACGATCAGTTTTACACCAATTTCCCTCACAATGACTCCTCACGTGGAACATTTTACGAAAAGGGCAGAGGAAACGTGAGGGACATAATGGGGGGAAAGTCCTCACAACAATAAACTCCTGAGCACAGCAGCGACCACACGTCAGAGGTTCCGCCCACTGATCTCCGACCTTGCCAGGTGTTTAACATTCAATAGAATGAAGAACACAGAATAACATAAGATAAAACACAGAATTTGTGTGATTATACTAAATTAAATTAAATAAACCCCACTGCATATTTACATCTGTTACACTAGCCGCTAAAGTTGAACACACAGCAGTTCATCTCAGCGTTTCACAAAGTACCGTACACACACCGCGGTTAACTCCGTTTGACTAATGTCGGACATACAAGAGTCTTTGTAACAGTGCTTACACGCGTATTTGCTAATAATTAATGCACATTTTACTCACAGTGTCGCTTGGTTGAAGTCAGTCAGTATGAATACCCGTGGGAAACAATGGCGGAGGGAGGAGAGATTGCTGAGAATTTGGAAAGAAATCCGCCTCACCGATTGGACGCCAAAAGAGCCCCGAAAGTTTGATTCTCTGACTTGGACCATTATCCGGCCTCCCATTGGCGAACGATGGAACCAACCTGGTTAGGGTTAGGAGCGAGGGGAAAGTGGGCCCTGCTCCGCGAAGCGGAAGGTCAGCGGTTCGATCCCCAGCTGTGGCAGAGATGAGGAAGAGCTCCCCTGTCAGCCATGAGCAACAGCATGAAGCTGCGGCGTCGCAGACTGCACTTTCTGGACCGCAGTTAATGGACCCTTCTTCTCTCTTTTAATGGCGAACAGCTTTTAGTTGCATACCGCCACCTACTGTACATGAGTGTGTATCACCATGTCATTCCATATCTAATAAACAAAATAACGAAAACTAAAATAAGAAACAATAAAATAAATAAAACAAAACAAAATAATCATCAATAATTTATTCTAACCGACTTTTAGATTATTGTACCTATCCCAGTTTCTCTCAGAAAGGTAAACAGTGCCTTTCTGGTAGCTCTCACTCCTTCTGTTCCCAGAACACACTCCCTCTCTGCCTCTATCACTTCATCCTTTAGTTTTTCTCTTTCAGCTTTATAGGTGACACCATTTAATAAAACATGTTCCACATTTCCCTTACCTCCACAGTTCCCACACTTGTCACTTTCCCCCATGACATACAGCGTACCATCAATGCTGTGTGATTTAGTCTGAGTCTAGCTATCAGGATTTCCTCCCTTCTGTTTCTTTCTTTATAAATATTCATTGTAATTGTCTTTTGAACTTTATGACACTCTTTGCCTTTCTGGTCTTCCTCCACCTCTTCTGCCAGACCTCCATCCCTTTCTTCTAATGACTGCTTTTCCTTCTCCTTTTCAAGTTGAAATTAAATGTTGAACAACAGCAGAGGAAGACAGCACGAGTGTTGGAAACTACAGGAAATCAATCCAAACAGATCTTTAAGTTTGAACTCTTTATTTGAAAAATATATTCACATTATATATATATATATATATATATGTTATTGTGTCCAGTGTTTCTTATTGGAGGGAGTCCAGCCACTCCTCGGGGCTCCTCCCTCCAGCAGGAGCAGGGCAATAGCTCACTCTCTCCCCGCTGGCCTTCACCAGGAGGAGGAGGAGGAGGAGGAGGAGGAGGAGGAGGAGGAGGAGGAGGAGGAGGAGGAGGAGGAGGAGGAGGAGGAGGAGGAGGAGGAGGAGGAGGAGGAGGAGGAGGAGGAGGAGGAGGAGGAGGAGGGGGTGGCAGGAAAGGGCTCCTCTTCTTCCAGGGGGCCGCATCTCTTGTAGAGGGCGGTCCCAGCACGGGCTGCTCTCCTTCGGGCTGAGAAGCGGACAGCGGACCGCCGGGTTCCCCCCCAGCGCTGTGACCCTCGACGCGGCTTGTGTCTCAGCTCCCTGGTGTTGGAGGTGAGGCGCGGGGCTGCCCTCTTACTGTTGTCACTGCGAACCCTGACAGCTTGATGTGTGGGCTTCAGCTGCAGCTCTGAAGAACCAGCCTGAAAACGAAGGGCCTGCCTGCGATCCATTGTCCTGAAATCACATCAAAAACACGTCAGAAACTAGCAGTCAAGAACTTCACAAGTGCATGTGAAGTTCAGCAGCTAGTCAGCACAAAGCCTCTCTTTGGAGAAGAAGGACCTTTGAATTCAGGTGTTAAAGCACAAGAGAGAAACACAGATAGTACACAGGATGAAATAAACAGGGATGATAAGAATAACAAGTAAATAACAGAATATGAAATGAGAAAAAACATGTAGTAACAGTCTGAATAGAAATAAGAAAAATAACACGAGTAAAAGCTGGTTCTGATTTGAAAGATAATGCTAGCCAACACTTTTCCATCAGCTCAACATTAACCTCAGAGGTCTGACTTTAAATGAATGATACTTATTGCAGAACAATGTTAGCCTTCATATACATGTTGACTTTAGTACACTACCGCATAGTAAATACGAATTACATTTAAAGTTATTACAGTACTTCATTAAATAGCCAAGTGTCTATGACCGTTAACCCTCCGTCCACATCTGTGAGCATTAACTTCATGAACATTTACGTTAGTGCAAAGTAAAAAAGCATAACGTGTTTTGCACCTCGCAAAGTGCAGGAGAAATGCATGTTGTTGCCGTAGCTCTACTGTTAACACTGTAAATGGCGGAGCGGCAGCTTTTAATCACGAATCTTGCATATACATGTTAACTTCATAAACGTTAGCGCATAGCAATAAGCATTAAATGACAAGTATTTACGGATTTAAACGGCAGGAAAGCTCCGGTATGCTTCTGGCTTAGCGGCAACTTGTTACCAATGCTAATATGCGCAAACGTTAAAAGACAACACATTGGCATTCATCTGTATTAGGCTACATTATAACGGACTGTCGGGTTAAGAGTAATAGCAGAGTTTATGTTACCTTTTCACAAACCGGTCAGTTATGATGCCTGTTCATTTACAGTGAAGACAAGACGCTCCCCGCTCAATGAGACGTCATCCAATCAGAGTACTAGAACTAAGTGAGCCGACCAATGGGTGGACACAATATGTAAACGATAATGCCATAGAAATGAACGGGAGGGGCGGGACTCTAAGTGAGACTTAAGTGAGACTGAGCAGGCCCGATTATCCGCGCCCCCTAGTTCGATAAGAGTGGTTTCTTTTCAGCACTACGTCGTGGATCACTGACAGATTATTGTCTATTTGAGTTTGAGCCTGAGGCAGGTTCTCTGGTCTCCTTCCAATCAGCACTGTGTTCAGCGTCGTCAGGTTCAGAAGAGTCTCCAGTGTCGTCCTCAGTCTTTGGTTGTAAACTGCTCTCTGGATCTGAGTTCGAGGAGGAGGGGCAGCCATGAGAGCCAGCACTGACTGACAAGTGACTCTGAAACAGGGGGTTTTGGTAAATGATGATGGAGTATCTGTAAAGTGCTGTGAGATAACATCTGAATCAATAAAACTGATTTGATTACAGAAAGGTTTGTTCTACAGAGCTGTATTATGATGCACGTTATATATATACATGCGTGAGATGAATACATATTATTATTAAAGCTGTCATCCAATCAGATCAGAGCCCTTTAGATCAATAAAGCCAGTGTACCACCCAGACCCCCCCCCCCCCCCACCGGCTGCATACTTGATATGAAGGTAAAGAGACGTTAGGAACTTGTCAAAACTGATTTGATTAAAGAAAGGTTTACAGAGCTGTATTATTACATTACATTACATTATATCTTCCTGATGTTGTTATTATGATGCATGTTATATTTTATATATATATATATATGTGTATGTGTATCATCATCTCTACTGTGCTTATTTATGCACCATGTTGTGTTTTATTGACCCGTGTTGCAGTCAAATATCAGACGTTGTGTAATGAATTCTAAATAAAGTTTCCACACAAAGTTCAGTTCAGAGTTTTATTTTAAAATAGATTTAAATAAATAAAGATAAAAGACAATTAAAGAAAAAGTGGCATCATTCCCCCCCCTCTGGGTCCCTTTTGAGTTTCTTCATCTCCTCCCGCCATTCCTCCACAGCTTTCCCGCCGGCAGCCGCGCAGTGAGACACACCTGCAATGCGAGTGTGGCCAGTGTCGATCCTCTTGGCCTGGCCACACTTGCTGCAGGTGTACTGACCCGTCTGCTGACGGGCTTTGATCCAGGGCGACGGCCCACCCCTTGCAGCATCAGCCTCTGCCGCCTTCCTCTTCCTGTAAGCCGTTGTCCTCGGCACACGGAGAGGAGGAGGCTGAGCAGCCATGAGAGGGCCAGCCGGGAGCAGTGATCGAAGAGGAGGCTGAGCAGCCATGAGAGGGCCGGCCGGGAGCAGTGATCGAAGAGGAGGCTGAGCAGCAGGGGCAGCCATGAGAGGGACAGCCGGGAGCAGTGTCCGAAGAGGAGGAGGAGGAGGAGGAGGAGGAGGAGGAGGAGGAGGAGGAGGAGGAGGAGGAGGAGGAGGAGGAGGAGGAGGAGGAGCCGCCGCCGACCGGGCTGCTGTGCCGGTGGAGGGGATATCTGGCTGGAAGACGGTCGGGTCCAGAAATTAATTGACATTTGCGTGAAATGTGAATTCATGATAGACTTTATCACAAGCTGTACCTGGGATGAACCGGTTGAGGTGGAGATGGAAGGACTCCAAAGACGTGGAGCCCCTCGCGCAGCGATAGACCGGCAGGATGACTCCGCCCTTTGTCAGCCTGCTGGTCTGCGTGTACAGCTGCACGCCAGGTGGGTCCTGGATGCAGCTGAGGTGGGGCCTCTGCGTACTCCATATGTCCTGGATGCGGAGAGTGTCAAGCAACGGGATGTCCAGGAGGTCCTGGATCAGGAGCGCTGTCTCCTCCTCCCCACGCGTCCGACGACGGCAGTGGAGCCTCCACTCCTCCCCGGTCCTCTCCTCTGGATCACCTCGGCTTCGGTCAGGCCGACCATCCCGCGCTTCCCCTCCAGCTGGCTTCAGTGAGACGGCGGGCATCTCCGGAGTCCACCTCGAAGATGCACAGAGACAGCCGCCTCATGAAGGCGGGGTACAGCTTTATTATTGTACTCAGGAGGGGAGTTTGACAGAGGATTACTTTAAAAGTACACAGTAAAAGTACTTAATTGTAGGCTACTTGTGGTAGAAGTCCAACGAGTACTGAGTCCAACATGTCATTAAGAACTTATGGCAGAAAATCAAAGCCCTCTCATCTGAGCTCCGTTACACACACACAGGGGCGGGACATCCTCCTCAACCTGTGCGCCATGCCTCAGAGCACGGATACCTGAACCGTAGCGTCCAGCTAGCTTAGCCGCTAGCTTAATACACATAGCGTTGTATTGTCCTCGCCCTGTCGGCCCTAAGAGCTTCAGAGGGCGGATACCTGAGCTCCGTAGCGTCCCGCTAATGTGAAACACACACACACACACACACACACACACACACACACACACACACACACACACACACACACACACACACACACACACACACACACACACACACACACACACACACACACACACACACACACACACACACACACACACACACACACACACACACACACACACAGCGTTAGCGGGACATTCTCCTCCCCCTGTCGGCTCTAAAAGCTTCAGAGGGCGGATAGCTGGGCTCCGTAGCGTCCCGCTAGCCGCTAGCTAAAGGAAAACACACACAGCAGTTCATCAGCGGTTCACAAAAGTACCGTACAAACACCACGGTTAACTCAGTATGACTAATCTCGGACATA